TGTAATACACACCCACAACAGTGTCACCCCTTCTTTATAGAAGAGAACAATATGTATGACTTTGTTCCAGCTCAGGTGATGATATCTGATGATCCTACACAAACTGGTCCCTTAACATTAAGACATGTAAATGCTAACATTAAATGATCTTGGGAAACACATCTCATATTTCAATGCCTTGCTCATTCCTTTTATGCTGTAAGGTATTGCAGATGCTCTGAAAACAGATAATACAAACAGGTGGAGACATTGCTGACATCCTGTAAATAATGAACAGAAAATACAAGTGGAAAATGTACTGTATAACTTTTTACATAGTGTCACTTTCCATTGTCATCGTTGATTTCCATAGCATGGATTTCTGAACTTACTACTTCTTAAACCACTACTATATGTCCCTGTGATATTGGACAGGCACAACTCCTGTTTTCTTGAAATATCCTTAATTTAGAACTAGCTGCATGACCAACAACTAACGAGTAAAATCCAAGGCTTCAGAGTGACCAAAGACAAAATAATAAATATCATTAATACTTTGGCATTTGTAAGCCAAGCCTTGGTGGAAAACATGTTTTGTATTTTTTTTTAAAGTCCATTTAGCAGCAAAAGTTACATTCTTCAAGACATGTTTTTTATTTCTTACCATATTGTATTTTGGGACATCACAGAACCATTTCTTCAGACTGGAGTTTGTGCATGAACATGGGATCCAAGTACTGTTTTCCTTGGTTTTATTCCCTTCCCACTGTGTGACATTGTATCTCCCATAGCATATGATCTAGAATTGAAATCCTGTAACTTGTTATCTCCAACACCTATAAAGACTGTCACACAGAGGAATTTTCAATCCAACAAGTGCTAGCTATTAGTTAGTTGATTAAATTAAATTAGCTAGATATTTGCCCTCCGTATTCCGAAGACATTTCTGCAGGAGGTGATTCACCCTTGTGTATCTATAATTTCCCATAATGTACACTGGATAGTACAGACTTAAGAAAAATGCAATCTTAAAATATACTTTTGAAAGGTATTTTCTTTTAGAATCTAAATTATTCTAGAACAGATGTGAATACAAAAAAAAAATTACAAACCCAGATTAAAGTAAAACATTTTGACTATCATCCTTAAGCTTCCAAAGTAATTTCAGTGTAGGAATTGCGTGTAAGCAGTAAACTATATTAAGGATGCACTCACTGTGAATTACAACAAAAAGAATAAAGAAAACTATACATTATTGGAAACAACATAATGAATATTGTTTCATAAGAATGCAGTAAATGAGGACAGATTTTATAAAAAATACTTTAATAAATAAAAATTAAAACATGGACACTCTGTTTTACTCTGATCTAGAAACTTAAATAAGGATCAGATTTTGAAAAATTTACTTATTCTTTTGTCACTTCTAATGTCACATTTGCAAAATTTTTCAGCTCTTAGCAAGAGATATTTAGAAAGTGTCCCATTTCAACTTGTGTTTTAGCAGTAATTGATCTTTTATGAACACAGGGCTCAAACTTGAAGCACAAAGCAAATACTGCGCCTTGTTCAAATGTATTATTTTGCCAATAACCTATTTCATTACTAGTAACACAAACCCAAACCAAACCATCAAACATCTTGGAGAATGGAATTCTTGTCATGTAGGAAATTCCAGCAGTTTTTCATTCTGAATTGGGATGAAACTTCAGAAATGTTTGAATTGTTTTGTGGGATGAAATGTCTGCCATATTTTAGCTCAGAGATGCTAAACAAAAGCATCTCTTTTTCATGTTTTGAAGAGTCAATCCAAGATATACTTCTTCTCAATTTTGAAAAATTAGATAACTTAGCCAAGACTGTCCTTTCTCTGTAAAAACATTCAGTTTCAACAGCTTTGTAAGTTTAATTTAAAAAAAATCACCAGCTTTCAACAGTACATTAAATATTGTCAACAATATATAAAATATAGTTCTTCTCTAATACTATTAGTAATCTTAGGGTTCTTCTTCTCATGGGAAATGCCACTGATACTGTAAAGAGCTGGAAGCATGTAACACAAGACTTGGAGATGGCAGTGTTTCATTCAGAAGTGTGTTTACAGTTCGCCATGGAAGAACTGTTATTTTATCTGGCTTAGATATCAACAGCAAAATGTCCACAGAACTTTGAGATCTGCCATGGATAGGTAGCTTTACTGAAACCACTGTTCCCAAACAGTTCAATAAAACTTAGCTCAAGTATACCAGCACATAGTCTAGCTGCAGCACTGATATAATGGGGTCACCATTAATCACTAGAGAAATAATGAGTGCAGTGAAAGAAGACTGGATTTTCAAAGAACAGATTTTAAATATACATTACAAATGCATTTGTAATCTTCAGTCTAGATAGATGCTTTATAAGTTATCTGGAATCATAGATAGTCTTCAGTGTTCGTTAAGAACCATGTAACTCATCTCAGCAAGTAGTCATATTAAGGGACTCACAAATGGTCTGTGGAAGCATACTAAACCATATTAAACTGTCAAGCTGTAGTGTTTGTAATTAAAAGCTCATGATGCAGAATTAATTTGAAGGGTAGAGAGCAAGCCACTGGTCAAAAACATTGCTAAATATTTCCAAAACATTTGATCCCATACAAATGCTTTAAAAGGCTTTTCTGAAAATGGAAACAAACTACATGCTGCCAGGCCACAAAAAATTATTATGATTAATAATTAAGTGTGTGTGCTGAAAGTATTGATTTGCAAGCTCATCTGAGAAAGTCTCAGTACATATTCAAATATTCTTACAGTAGGAGCTTTGCTTTGACTTCATAGCATCTTTGCTTGTCCGTGGTTCAAGTTCTTGAGACTTAAGCAGACCAAGTGCTTTATGATATCTAGCACTGTTTAAGATATTAGGAAACCCATCTGTTTTCTTTTTTTTTTCAGCTGCAGTAAATTTCAGTGACCAGAATTGTCTGCTCCTACTTATATTGACAAGTATGTCAAAAGCCTAATCTCATCCATAATGATGCATATAACAGCAAGAAATCTGTCCTCTCACATCAGATATTAGCAATAGACCTTGAAAAATTAATCTTTTACTAAAGGAGGTTTTTTTTTAAAGTAAGTTCTGATTGGTATACACATTTTTGGTCGTGATATTTTGTGGGTTTTTTCCTTACATTGTGCTGCACAGCATTCAGAATGTTCCACATGGGCTCTTGCTCAGCCAGACTCTTATTCCCATATTCAGAAATAACTTCAACAAATCTGTTGTTCCATTGATTGTGGACCCGTTCATAAATATTTGTAGCATTTTATATATATATATAGATAAGGGTGTGGATAGATAATACAATCCTTGATCTTTTATTGATATTCAGGTTTCTTCAAGGGTTACTTGCAAGCAGCAGCATTCTAATCAATTTGCCAAATATGATCTAAGACATGTCGTAACCATTGCTCTAATGAGAAACTTGAAAGCAAAAGGGGAAGATAAATGAGGTGACCCAAAACACATACATAGCACAGGCAGACACAAGGTGATTAGCCCAAATGGAGCCAGAAGAGCCAGGGAACATAGTTTAAATGCACCTGATTTTTCCTGAAATACTAAATCCTACCTCTCATACTTATTTTTAATAAGCACAGCACCATATAACAATAAGCACAAAACTAAAATTGATTCTCAGCCTAATGCAATACAAACATGTGAGTACCATATAATCTGGCCAGGACACATATTGCTTTGGGCTAGGGGAGTTAGCAGTTCATGTTGGCCCTAGATTAGGCATTTTTGCGCAGAGTGTTAAAATAGAACTTCAACAGTAATTGAAGTGGACAAGCTGACAAGAGCGTGATTATAGAGAGTGTAGCAGGGAATACATGCAGGGGAGAACTCCTAGGACACTGAAAGGTTTCATTACAAAAACAAGAAAAATATGAGGCTTTTCTAACTCCCTCCCCTTGCTACATCCATCTGAAAAATAAAATTCAAAACCTTGCACAGTGAATGATTATGTTACCCACATTTATTATACTTCAGCAACACTTAATTAAGGTTGTGATCAAGTGCAATTAGAGTTGATTTAAAATAAATTTAACTTCAATCTGTCAAGCAATTCTCCTAGCACAAATAGCTGACTCCAGAATGCATCAATCCCGACAGTTCAAATCTTTGAATATGTAAAATCATCATATAAAACAGGGAGGACTTCATCATTATAAATTAACATTTCATGAAGAATTCTTCATGATACAGATTCACTTTGATGGAATAAAGTTAATTTATTTGAGCTGTACCTTGCCTGAATAGCAGCAGCATTTGCAGAACTGTATGAACCATTGTCATGGGAGGTTTTCTTAAAACATATATTTTGGCATTATGGAATTTACATACCTCTTCTTTCTTCACAAATATCAGCACCAAAATTGTCATCTGAGCAACAAACACCAGGATTTGAAAACTCATATACTGAAAAAAAGACCCAAGCTATGTTTAAACATAATATTGTACAAGAGAGCAATGCAATAAAAAATTCCAGAAGCTCACTTATAATCCTCCATGACTGTTATTTAGGGTCATTCCAACAGAAGTAAGATATATTTTTTTCCTGGAAACCCTCAGAAAGTGACATCATAGTCTGACAGGCAGGCTTCAGGCAAAGCACAATTCACTGTTTTGGCCTTAAAGACAAAGCCATAACTTTCTTGGAAGTAAGAACAAAAGCTGTTATTAAGCAAGTGTGCTCCACTGAAGAAAACTCTTATTTCATTATTTCCTGTTTGAATAATCAGGGTACCTAAGCCTCATGCCCAGGCAAGGACTTCTTTGAGCTATAAGATGCACAAATAAAACAAAAAGGTAGTTGATTTTGTTCATTTTCAGTGAAAACCCACAACATCTAGATATTGTGATACTAGATACTTCCATGGAAGCTACAAATGAGACACTTCTTTTATCATCTAATAAATTGTGAGACGAACACTTCATGCCTAGGACAGTAGCAGGAAGGAAGAAGGAATAAGATTCCTGGTCTCCTTTCACTGCTGTGCCAGTTGATATTTGTAGCACTTAACAAAAGGATCAGTAGAATATTTTGGCCACAATAACCCCATGCAGTGCTACAGTCTGGGGGAAGAGTGGCTGGAGAGCAGCCCAGCAGAGAGGGACCTGGGAGTACTGGTTGACAATCGATTGAACATGAGCCAACAGCGTGCCCAGGTGGCTCAGAAGGCCAATGGCATCCTGACCTGTATCAGGAATAGTGTGTCCAGCAGAAGTAAGGATGTAATTCTCCCTTTGTACTCAGCACTGGTGAGGCCTCACGAGTACTTTCCTGGGACCCTCATTTCAAGAAGGATACTGAGGTGCTGGAGCAGGTCCAGAGAAGAGCAATGACGCTGGTGAAGGGACTAGAGGGAAAGCCTTATAATGAGAGGCTAAGGGAGCTGGGCTTGTTTAGCCTGGAGAAGAGGAGACTCGGAGGGGACCTTATCACTCTCTACAACTACCTGAAGGGAGATTGTAGCCAGGTGGGGGTCAGGGCATAGCCTGAAGCTGTGCCAGAGGAGGTTTAGGCTGTATATTAGAAAGCACTTTTTCACCGAGAGGGTGATCAGGCATTGGAATGGACTGCCCAGGGAGGTGGTGGAGTTACCATCCTTGGAAGTATTTAGGGAAAGGCTGGATGTGGCACTTAGTCCCATGGTCTAGCCGATGTGGTAGTGTTAGGTCATAGGCTGGACTTGATGAGCTCAGAGCTCTTTTCCAGCCTCAATAATTCTGTGATTCTGTGATTCAGCCTTCACATAGTCTAAAACAAGTCACTCAGAAAGGGTGACAAAAAAGACAGAGGAAAAAATGTAACCAAAGTGCTCATAAGAATGTATACTTACAGTGTAATTTCTCAGAAATCAAAGTGTTCTTCCCTTAAAAAGCATGAATTGTATATTAATGTCGAGTATCCAGATAGGTCTACATAGGTAACAGCTTTTTAATCATACTCTCTGTTTCTATATTGTAATCATACTGTAGCTATATGTGCCTTCAACCTGCAGTATTTTGGAGCAGGCTTTTCTTTATTTGTTCAGCACATACTAAGCATGTGAGCACATACTGAGAGATAGTTACTCTGCATAATTTCAACAGTAAATTAATTTAAAAACCTGTAAGTTAATAAATACAGAGGTAAACATTTTTGTTTTGTGAAACTGCAAGTGTTTTGTCATTAAAAACATTCATGCAGTGATATGGAAGGATCTTCCACTTTGTTCAGATTTCATTTGAGCCAGGTCTTTATCTAAAAATATCTTTCTATCAGCAGATTTGGAAATAACAACATCAAGGCAGAATCATAGTTTCCATGCACACAAAACTACCTTTCATTTTACAAGAAAGTTTGAGTCCGATTTACACTTACAGTAACTAGTAGACGTTTGATTTCCATAACACTTCCAAGGAATCCCATGGCTGATGTAAAAGTAATAACAGATCCACTTCCAACTTATATATAAGAGATGTATGCCACTAGCTTGTTCTCACCTGAAGAAACTGTAATACAGTGCATTCATACTGTCATTTCTCCTTTTCTTTGAGACTTCCACTTACAGAACTTATTCCAGAAAAACAATTAAATCTTTGCAATGTCATTAGTTAAAGGATAGAAATGATAAAATTATAAAAGTGTATTATTATTATTAATTATGCTATCTATGCTTAAAGAAAAATGTATATTTTCATAAATTCAGAGGATGTTAACAACATATGAGATGTCAACAGAACATACTCAATTGAACAATGTGAACCACTAACAATGAAATCAAAGAACAATTACAAGTTTACAGATTTTTTTCTGTTTGCCAAACATTAGTAGCACATGTCCATATTCTGCATGGACATAGATATAGTTCTTATCAAATTGAGACTCAGACTCAGTGCTATCCTCCCTCTCTGTAACTGGCCACTTTCCCTTTCCACTTTTGCATAGATATGGAAAGTAGCAGAGGTTTTCATTACTTCCATCTCAAATGCTTCACCCCAGAATTACTGTATTGGATGGTTCCCAATCCCATTCGTTAAAAACTGATGCTCCTTGGCACAGCCAAGGCAGACAACTCTTTGAAAGCACAGCTGTTGTTATGAGACCCATACTTCTCTGTGAAACAATTTGATAGACACTCTGGGAAAAAGGAATGTCTATATAGAGAGGCCCAAGCTCCAACTTGTGTTCATTACACCCAAATATCCACCTAAAGGACCTATAATCTTGTTGAATACAGGTCAAATGCAGTCTGGTGAATTATATAAAGAAAAGATCAATAGAGCTGATTTATATTTCAGCAGTTCATCTCTAAGCCATACACCAAAAGAAATAATAAAATTGTATAAACTGTAATCACACATAAATTGTAGATATACTGATATATATATTCCCCTGTTTTGATAATCATACTGGATGGAAAATATACACAACAGAAAAAACAAACTCCAAAACCTATACGTTTTAATCCAATACTGCCACCTTGTGAAAAAAAAAATTCTATCACTGTTTCTGTTGATTTATCCTGCAATAATTTGAAACGAAAGAAAAATTCTGTTTATACTTACATAACACACTGAATAAATTGTTTCTGTCAAATAAAAGCCACAGGCCAGATATCAAAAGCATAAGGCCCAGAGCCTGAAAAAAAAGGAGGATTATTGTTTTAATTCAAAACATTTTTTAAAAATTAATTCGAAGCTGTTAAATAAGGAAAAGAAAACAGAATTTTTACCAAGAAAATTCCATTGAAGACGTTTAAGTAGTACTTCTGTATTAGTATTTTATCTCTTATTTTCATTCTTCTGTTTTCAGTTTTGAATCAGAGCTGAAAATATAATCATATATTCCACTCAATATGAAACAGATAAGTAAGCCCACAAATTAAAACAAGATTTATTTTCTTCAGATAATGTTTTATAAATTTGAACAGACACCTGATACATTGAACAAAAAAAAAAATGGTAGCAACAGTAGAAGCATGAAGATGGTGTTTGGTCTCAACTGTCTCTAATGTTATATAGTACACCAGTATTTCTTTTGTTAGCTTTTTTTTTCTTAACTACTAAAGACATTTGGAGGTAGTATATATGCAGGAAGATTTATATTTCAGAGATGGCAAGAGTTACATAGTCTGGCATACACTTATCCTTGTATTCTTCAATACACTTAGTTTACTAATTATTAAGGATGTTCACTGAAATGAAGAGGGAGAACCATAGTAAAGATACAAGCCCTTCTTTGTCTACGTGACCTGATTCAAGTTTTGTTAAAAATAGCAGATACTGCCTAAGGTGTTCAGTGCAATCCAGCAGTTTTACCAACTGTCTCGTACTAAACTCTGGAGTATGCTTTACACTTTTGAAGTGAATCTCTCAACCACCTCAATTTATCTTTTTCCTCCCTTTTTTTTGTGGCATGTAACAGAATGTGAAAAGTTGGATTTCTTTCAAATGAAACTAAACCAAGAAATGTACTTCATCTATCATCAATAGCAAGTGGGTGCTTCATCAATGGAAGGTCAAGCAGAGACCCTGCCCATAGAAACTGCCCCTGAAATATGTGTAAAATTTGCATTAGAACCCAAGTGCCAACTGTATTGCCCTTGCAAATACTTGCAAATGTCAACAGGACCACAGTGAAGTCACATGTGCACTTACGTCTTGAGCATAGTTTAGCGTATTTCAGCAGGTAAGATCCCTAGCACTTTCTGATGCAAGACTTCTTTTTTATATATATCTTTATTATTATTATTATCATTACTGGATACTGTTATCTTCTGGGCCTATCCGAATTTTTGCACAGAGAGTGAAACTCATGCATTTGTCCCCCACCTCAAGTTCTCTTTCACTTGTCTTGCCTGTTCTGTAAACATACTGTGGCATTTTGGTCTGCCTGGCTTTGTGGAACAAGATGGAAGAAGTCCAAAAGCAGCAGTGCTAGACAATGGCTTCTGCAATGGCAGTTGACTGCAGCTGTCATAAAGCAGGCAGGCACACAAAAATGCACAGATGCATGAACGTAACTATCATAAGCATACTCTTCAGAAAGTATTTTGTAATGCAAAAGGATTTGTTTGAAAGGAATTGTTCTGCTCTTCTGTCAGAATTACTACAGACTGGAACAATAAGAAGTCATGTCTTCCATTATACATAAATAAAAAAATAATTACAAAGATGAAGCTTCTGCAGTCAAAATATATCTTGCATTAAAAACTTATTTTACATACAAAACATGTTACATACATATCAAATTTGTTGATTAGAAGAAAGATTCAACAAACACAAGCTTTGCCTGCCCTGTCAAGATCCTCATTGCCTGGGTTGTAAAACTTCTGTTGCCGAATTGCAGAATGAAGAAAACTGTAAGCTTCTCAAACTACCTCCACAGTGAATTTTGGTCAATAATGCACAAGTAAACTTATGGACTCTATTAGATAACTGATTTTTCACTTTTCCTGAAGAAGATCCACTGCTTTTAAGAGTAATTAAACTTCATCAGAATTTTCAAAACCAGACTGTATTAAAACATTGGTGCAATGCATTGTTCTAGTAAAAAACCCTGAACATATTTCACTTGAAAACTGGCATCTGCAATAGTTCTGTTGTAATAAATATGCAGTTTCAATGCTTAATTTTGAGCCATTGTAATTATAATAATAATTCAGTATATCATAAATTATTAATCTCAAAGAAAAACTTTTATAAAATGATGCACTTTTTACATTACTGTTACTTCACAAGAAAATCCTTACCAGCTCTGAATATTTCCATCTTACCTTAAAGAGCACAGTCTCATAATGGTATGCTTCTTCCTGAAGCCCAACTTAACCACATCTTTACAACAAAGATGTTTTTTTCTGTTTATGGGCCCAGACTTCCTGGTTACAGGTGACAGGCTTACAGAAACATCTTTTTTATTGGCAAATGAGTTGGCTAAATGCAATACACGGTGCCACGGTCTTCAGTCACCATGATCACATTACAAAACAAGTATCAAGTGCACATTCAACTCAGCGCTTCAAGACCTGACCACATTGAAAAGTTTGCTGGTTACATGATTCTGTGAAGTATGAGCCATCACAGTGCAGATTTCAAATGGATTAGTTTCCCATTGTTTTAAGATTTAATTGTCTTACTCATCCATAACACTGGTGCGAAAATAGTAACCGGTTACCCTGAATCTAGCAATTTGCAGTTAACATCCATAAGTGTTTCAGAAAGGTAGTCAGTTTATTTTAATTTAAAGACAGTAAATGGGAAAAACCCCTACTATCCTTGGCAGATCCTTCCCATTGCTCACAAAAGTGCTCATTTTCTATGCAAAACTTGTATTAACCTTTCAGCTATTATTTTCCTTTTATACCTGTCTTTGCACCTTGGCATTCCTAATCAGACTTTAGGGACAGATGCATTCCCTATAAATACAGTTACACACCAAAATCATATTGTCTGCACCTACCCTGCCCTGTATCACTGTTGCTATGCTGAATTGTGTGGTCTTGACTTCTCTGAACTGGACATTTTCTCCAGCTCTCAAATAATTTGTATGTGCCTTTCACTGATCCTTTTATTTTTTAACTATTATTTTCTGATCCCTGCCCGCAGCTGCTCATCCCATAGCCAACCTCCCTGAGCCACGCGGCTGGCGGGTTGTTTTGTTGTTTTGGTTGGTTTGGTTTGTTTGTTTGTTAAACTTTTCGTGTGTGGGTTTGTTGGGTTTTTTGAAATTTTTTCGTCCCACATTGACGACCGCGACGGGCGGCCCTCCAACCACCCCACCGGCGCGAAAGGGTGGCCGGACGAAGTTTGGATCCTCCCGCTTGCCTTCCGAGCCGCTGTTTCCCGTTGCTGTGGTGACGCTCCCGGTTGAACGGCACGGTGGCGGGGCTCTCGCTGTCCCCGCCGAGGGCACGACCAGGGGCGGTCGGAAGCTGCGAAACTTCAGGGCGGAGGGGCGAGCGGTCTCCGGAGGTGTCTAGGAAGACGGGGGCTCGGGTAGGAGCTCGGCTGAACGAGAAGTGAGTAACTACAGGGAGTAGATCGCGGAGGGCTCCGAGTGCCTTCAAAAGGGGACTACAACTCCCAGCATGCGAAGGGGTGCCTCCTCTGTCTGTTCCGGGAAACGGCTGTGGGCGGCCCCGCCTCCCCACCGCCATACCTTCTGGGAGGTGTAGTTTTAGCTAGGATCTGCTTTGACCTTTCAGGGCTGAGGTGCGCTCAGAGTGTCCCTTCTCAGTCGTGTCCCCGGCTCCAGGAGCCGGCGAGGGTCGTGGAGCTGCTCGCTGCTTCCGGTGGAGCGGGTTTGGCATGTCTCCCCCGTCTAGTCATTGAGGCCAGGCGTGTGGAAGGGAGTGCAGGTTGCGGATGGAGTGGAAGGTGACGAGAGACTCCTTCCCCTCCCGTCTGGATCCATCTACAAGTCTTGTACTTCTGTGGATTCTGTTTTGTCTGTGTCATTGCAACTTCATAGAGTGCTTTCTGGTTTCTTAGTCTTATTTTGTAATTCTTAATATGTATTTATTGTTTGAAGCTTTTTGTTTTCTTTGCAGCCATTAGGGCTGTAAATAAAAAAAACCCTTGTGAAGCTTAGGTCATAGCACTGACACTGTCCACAAGGAGTAGAGAGCAGGCAGAGGTTTTTAATATTCAAATTTAGTAACAGTGACAAAATTTAAGGAGGTAGACTGAGGGGGGGATTCTATTGTTGCAACCTAACATTTTTATTTTTACTTTTTTTTTCTTATTCGGATGGAGTGAGGTGTTTGGAACAAACTTATGCTCTTTCCTTTCATGTTTTAAGCAACTGTTCAATGAATACATCTGAATAAAGTCATGCTAAAAGAATGCTCTCTTTATTTTGGTTCATGCAGTCCTGAAAGTTAGTATTTTCTTTGTGTAGCTTTGAAAGCAGATAAGACGCAGTGGAAAATAGAATGTCAGAAGATATTGAAGGAATTGAAAAAGAAATAGAAATTGAATTAAGCAGAATCAGTGTTTCTTCCTTTGAAGCAGATGATCCTGACACAGAGGTATCAGATGAAGCATCGAGTGATAGTGAGACGGTAAGTATTCTGTTTGAATAACAAAAGAATAATTTGAATAATAAGCTTCTGTTTCTGTTTGAAAGTAGTACGGGCATTGGAAAGGCTTTCTGATGAATGAACTTTTTCCTGACGTGCCTAACCTGACGATTTCTTCTGAAAAGTAGTGTCAGTAGTATTGCTTCATGAAAAATGTAACCTTCAATGGTAGCAAGACAATAAAAGACATTAATATCAGCATTCTGCTTGAGTGAGAAAATCAGAGTCATAGATAACGATTTGTTTTAGATTCGTCTGAAGCTAGAAGATTTTATTAAAACTAATGAGGTAGATTAAATCTGGATGAATAAACCAATGGTTTTTCATTTAAATCTGTATTTAAATATAACAAGAGACTGTCTTATGTTTGAAGACTTCCTGTTATTAATTTCATATAAATTGGTGTTTAAAATCCTCTTTTTTGGATGACTTTTTATTACAGACAAAGATTTTCCTCTGAAATCCAATAATTCTTTTGGGTCTTTTTCAGTTATTTTAATCTTTCAGATGCACAGCAAAAAGATTGGTTTATAGGATATTAGGGTAAGTTATACTGGTAATATGTGATCATAAATTATGTATTTCATATGACATAAAGACAGACAAAGGCATTAGTGATAATTATTTATACACTCACATGCTTAATGCTAGCAATGTTTACCGCAATTTACACATCTGGGAAAAAGCACTCCATTTTCCCAAATACTTGCAGTAAAATA